GCCGAAGTTTCCTGCAGTAAATGGAAGCGGCTTCGGGCTCCAGTGCGATCAGCAGCTGCTCTGGGTTCTCTGGGGACACCAGACCGGCCTGCCAGGAGGATGGGGTGTCAGGGCAGAGATGGTGCCGGTGCACCAGGGGCCCTCATTCTGCCCATATAGGCACTATGTGTTGCATGGAAACCCTACACATCACCGCCGTGCGCCCGGCATCACCAGTGCTGCAGAGGTGAGTTTGCTCCTGCCCATCCCACAGACACAGCGGCAGCACCCAAAGGACACCCCCCACCCCTGGACACATCCTCATCCTCAGTTCCCCCCCACCTTTGCCGTACACCCCGCTCTGAACCTCCCCACCCCAAGTTTCAAAGCCTGTGCCCAACAACAAGAGGTGTCCCCCTTTTCCTAGATAGCACAGCCTCCTGCGGGGGTCACCGCGTGGCACGGCCCCCCCAGGGGTCCCGTCACCTTGTAGGCAGCCTCCCGCATGAACTGCTTGGCTGGTTGCTTCCAGATGGCGGGCACAGTGATGACCCAGCGGATGGCATCGTGCTCGGGCAGGGACGGGCACTGGTCCTGCAGCTCCTGCCAGGTGAGACATGGCAGGTGACACCTCCCCTCACCAACCACCCCCAACCCCAGCTGGAGCATCATGGCCTGCAGTGAAGGGTGAGGAAGCGGTGAGGATGAGGGGCAGGACCTGTTCTCCATTTGGGGAGGAAGAGGATGGTCACGCTCACATGACAGCACGGGCAGAGCTGGCACAGGCATGGGGTGCGCTACCTGCACGGCATGCTGCTTAAAGAAGTGGAGTGCATGGGCGAACACCTGCAATGCTGCCATCTTCTTCCCGTTGATGGCTTCTAGCTCCGTTTTCATGGTGAGATCCTGCCGGGAAGAGCAGCGACAGCGAACGGATCATGCAGGGTGCTGGGATGTGGCCGGTGTCCCACCTGGCCCTGTTGGCGAGACTTGGGCAGGGCGCTCGTGTCCCCCCATGCCACCTGGGCATGGGTGCTCTCAGCACCACACTGCAGCCACATCCACCTGCCCTGAAGCAGCTCAGATGGAGGGAACCAAAAAACGCACCCCCCGTGCAAAGGACGAAAGCGTCACTATGTGCCAAGCATGCGGAAAGCAAACGGGGAGCCAGAGGTGCTGGTGGTCAGAGGTTGTGCTGGTAGCCCCTCACCAGCCCTCCCAGGTCCTCACCAGCCATCCTGGTTGCTTTCTGTGGAGAGGGGGGTACATCCCTGGCGCTGGTGCAGGTGACGTGCAGCCCAGCCGGGGTCCCCCCAGGGAGGTCAGGGCAGGGGGAGCAGGGACTTACGCTGGTGCTGTGAATCTTCATCTTAAACTTCTCAAAGTAGAGCCAGTCACGGGCTTCCTCGGGGTCCAGGTCATGGTAGTAGTCCCTGGCCGTGTAGCCAAAGCTGTGGAAGGCTCCCTCCGGAGTCAGCAGGAGGCTGGTGGGGGTCTTCTGGTTGGCCACCCCTGGGTCCCCCCCTTCCCATTTCCTGCAAACAGGAGCCGGCAGCGGCCCATGAAGTTCCAGGCTGGAGAATGGGTCATAGAATCATAGAACCATCGAATGGTTTGGGTTGGAAGGGACCTCAAAGATCATCTGGTTCCAACACCCCTGCCATAGGCAGGGCCACCCTCCACTACACCAGGTTGGTCCAAGCCCCATCCAACCTGGCCTTGAACACTTCCAGGGATGGGGGTCCTGTCCTGTTTCCTTTAGTTACACAGACACAACCTTAAGCAGCTTAAAAGGGGGACAAAGAAGGGATTGAGGTCCCAGGAAGGCCACACACCAAGGATGCTCTGCTCCCTGCAGGTTGTCAACACAAGTGAGTGCTAATGAAGGGACGCTCCCACCTCACCCGCCATGGCCAGGTG